TTTTACTCCAATTTGATAATTTTCTCTTTCTTCTTATGATAGTGTTTTTCTTTTGCGCATTGGGGGAGTTGGAGACACTTTGGCCATCCAATAAATACCGAGTTCTTCTTTTGTTCTTATTCTTCAATGATTGTCCGCTTTCTCCAACATTACCAAATGTTTTGAGGGCAAGTTTTATGTATTTATTATTAGATGATTTTTTTTACTTTAGTGGGCGTCTAGGGGAGGGGGTCTGGGGGCCTAGAGTAAACCGGGCTGAAACTCACTCCATTGAGTTTCGAACTCGTGACCTTCCATAAGGGAGAGTGAGTCCGCGACCAGCTGAGCTGGACAGCTTCCTCATTAGATGAAAATTGTTGATGGGCGTTATATTCCAATCGGTTAGTATGAATGTATGATACTCCGTAGTCCGTATCGAATGTATTCAAGAGACCAGTGGAACGCGATTCCGGAAGGCAGAAGCTCTTATTGATTAGGGTCCCTAACGAAATGACATTACACTCCATTAAGCTTTGAGTCTATGGGAGAATATAATCTATTCCGAATCATATTGATCTACGTTGTGAAATGTGGTTGTGTCACCTCTTATCGACTCTAAAGTCTAAACAATAAATGTTAACAAGCCACCCTTGTGTTAAAATTAAAAAATTTAGAAGATCTGTAATATTAGGTAAATAATATATTGTAATATTACACTTATTATTAACTAGTATAAATGAAAACTATCAAAAATATTTACAAAATATACGATTTTAGAGTATATTACGTATGTATATACCACATGTAACATAAATGGACTAAGAATTTTCAATGGCTTAGCTGGTTAAAAGTAAATTTTGCAAGCTCTAGTACGGTGTTCGTTTCGTACTTTCGTGTACGGCGTATATTGTGGGATCATCCACGGTGAGATCATGCTCCACGCCCAAATGACGTAATTTTGCACATTTTTTTTTTTAAAATAAAATTCGAATAAACAGTGCACACGTGAATATTAATCACGTGTACAATAACTTTTTTTTGTCCCAGTAGCATGAATGATATAATTCGCGTGTAAAGATATGTAACTCACGTTATTGATCAATGTCACTCAAGTCCATTCAAAATGTAACTGGTCAAATACATAGTATACGAAATAAAATATTGATTTCAATGTAAATAATGAAAAAGAAGAGTCTAATTGCACAATTGCTTAAGAATAATCATGAATATGTTTTGTTTTTAATTAATGTCATGACCATAAAAATGGTTTTTTATAGAAGATCATTTTTTTTGTTTCAATAGCAGGGTTTGATTTTTTTAATGTAACTTATATATGTTGCTACAAATGTAACTCGCGTTGATGGTAAATACAACTTAAGCAGGGATGGATCCAGGATTCTGAGTCAAGGGGGGCGAAATTTTTCGTTAGTGTAGGGGGTGATTTTTTTTTTTTGTTAGTGTAGCGGGGTGAAATTTTTTTCCCTAGTATAGCGGGGCGAAATTTTTTCGCTACTGTAGGGCTATGCGGCTATTTTTATTCAAAAAATGACATTAATACATGCACATCCCGAACGACATTTAAATCTATTACATTCTAAGTTTAGACGATGACAAAGACATCAACCAATACATTTTCAATAACTTCTACATTGTTTAACCTCATGAATCGGTTATTGAATTGTATTTTTTGTCCACCAAGGAGAGTGTTCATGAGTCATGACTCATGAGAAGTTTTCTTAATATTACAATAGTAGTATACTAGTATGTATGAGATTGTTGTTTTTAGAATAATATGCACCACATACACACACACACACACATATATGGTGCATATTATATTTTAATATTTTTATTAATTCTATAATAATTTAGAGTTTATTATCCATGCAATAAATTATTTTTAGAAAGCAAGAAGTAAATGAATTATGTAATCTAATGTCTATAAATATTTATATTTTGGATTCATTTCACGTGATCTAAAAATTGTGTAATTAGTGTGTCCGGTATTTAATATTGTTTGATATATGTTTTACGAAATCCAGTACTTGTTATCTAATAAAGATAATTAAACATTACAAAACTAGGAATTCTTATATAATAAGTATCCTAAATCTTAAATAACGAGTTACTCTATTGTTTATTTGTTTAAGTTATGTAAATTATTTTAGATGTTTCTTCTTTTAAATCTCCAATTAAGTATTACATTATGTAAGACTATATATATTAATTTTGAAAATTAAAAGCTAATGGGGGCGAATCTAATTAAATTATGAAAGTTTTATGAAAATATTACATATATGGTAAAAAAAATTGAATGTCCAAGGGGGGCGGTCGCCCCCCCCGCGCCCCCCCCCCCCCCCCTAAATCCATCCCTGAACTTAAGTGTGGGTATGAGTTATGATCCTGTGCATCCGGATGGGCAAGAGGCGCTGTCCGGCGAGGCCATCAGAGGCCCCGTCCCGGTGGAATTTTTTGATAATTTTTTTAGCATGTTCCTCATTCAGTCTTGTTTATCCATACCAAATTTCAACTAAAAATTCGATCAGGAAGGCAGTCAAATAAATAGTGGAACAAAACTGTACTGTATATATAAATATATGTGTGTGTGTGTGTATAGGTATATATATACTGATATACATGTGTGTATATATATATATATATATATATATATATATATATATATATATATATATAAAGCACATGTATCTTCACAAATTTATTTGACTGCCTTCCCGATCGAATTTTTATCTGAAATTTGGTATGGACAAATTAGACTTGATGAGGAACATGCTAAAAACTTTCATCAAAACATTCCACCGAGAACGGCCTTTGATGGCCTCGGCCTGCGGCGCCTCCTGTGTCCATCCGGAGGGACATGATCTTTTTCCCTTAAGTGTATACAGAATATAAATTGATGAAAAATTGAATAATGATTTTTTTTGTGTTTGATTATAATAAGTTTATAATATGTATATATATTATAAAAACAATGAAAAATTGATCCTAATAACTTAATTACTTTTTTTAAATAGTGAATATTTTATTTCTAATATTAGGGCTATAAAAATGATATAGCAGGGGTTTATTCCGTGGTGTAACTCACATTCATTAAGATGTAACTCACGTAAACATGTAACTCACGTATATCAAGATGTAACTCGTGTAAATTAAGATGTAACTCGCGTAAATTAAGATGTAACTCGCGCAGAAGAAGATGTAATAACTTCATGATATATTGTCAAATGCAACTTCAAAAATAAAAATAAACAAACTCAATGTCTTAAAAACCTCTAAAAACTTATTAAAGTGATAAAAAAATTATATTATAGAAAGAGTGTGTGCATATAAAAAATATTACAAAAAGTGTATGAATATAAAAAGTATTACAAAAAAAAGTATATGAATATAAAAATATTACAAAAATAAACTTATTTATTTAGACTAATAAACTTTTTGTTATGTATTGATAAAGAATAAAAAATGATTCAATTATAATGTATGTTGAAGATAAACAAAAAAATAAATTTTAATTAAAATTTTAGTATTTTAATTTAATGGAAAAGGAGAAGAGTTGAAGAAAAGAAAAATAAAGAAATAAAAGCAAAACAAAAAGGAATAACAAAGCTACTCGAAAAAGAAAGCAACGTTCGTACATTTATAAAGTGGGATGGGCACACCATGCGGAAGGTGGGTTGATCCTTGTTAGGAATTAAACTCACGCACGCGATGAATAATAAGAAGAACACACGAAAATTTGGTAACCCAGTTCGCCACGAATGACTACGTCTGGGGGCGCTACCAAGCCAGGAATATTATTGCTATTTTCGGATCCACACACAATGATTACAAAGGAGAGAGCTTGTATTTATAGATAAGTAAATCCTAACCCCAAGGCAACTAGGATGCGTTTCCTAAAATAAATTAATAAACGTGTTTCCAAAAATAAATTAAGAAACTGTCTCTAACACCTTACAATCTCCCACCTAGAGACTGTCTTCTTCAAACCTCCCTTGTAAGCATGGTAGCGCCGACATTCATCTTCAAGTACCCAGGCCAATTGAAGCTATGCAAAGCTTCAATTTCCCCAAGGTTACCACCTTAGTAAAGATGTCTGCTGGATTCTCACTCCCACAGATCCTCACAAGCTGCAATGCCTTTATCTCCAGAAGATGATGGATGTAGTGATACTTCAACCGAATGTGTTTGGTTCTCTTGTGAAAAGATGAGTTGTTGGCCAAGAAGATAGCACTTTGACTGTCACTGTAAAGAATGCTATTCGTGTACTCCTTCCCAAGTTCCCCAAGTAAATTCTGAAGCCACACCATCTCCTTGCCTCCGTAATGGCCACATATATATTCAGCTTCAGTGGTAGATAATGCAACAATCTTCTGCAGCTGTGAAAGCCATGAAACCGTCGTTCCACCAAATGTAAAAACATACCTGGAGTTGCTCCTCGATCCATCCGAGTCATTCGATGCCAGGTCTGCATCAACATGTCCTAGCAACTCTACATTCTTCCCATCAAGACACAAAGCATTAGAAGCAATACCTTTCAAATACCTCATGATCCACTTCACAGCTTCCCTGTGTTCTTTCCCGGGGTCTCCCATGAATCTGCTCACTACTCCCACCAAATGTGCAATGTCTGGCCTTGTGCACACCATCGCGTACATTATGCTGCCAATTGCCGATGCGTATGGGACATTCTGCATTTGAGCACGCTCCTCCTTGTTCTTCAGTGAGTCTTCCTTGCTAAGTTTGAAGTGACTACCCAACGGTAGACTTGCTGCCTGTTGAGTTTAATCCAACACGATATAGTAAATATATGTATAAATGTGTATGAACAACTCAGTTTTTACGTGGAAACCCGAAAGGGAGAAAACCACGAGACTTTTTAGGCTAATGTCCAAGCCCTCTCTTTCTCATTAGGACTCTCCTCACCATTACATAGTACAATTTGTTTGAAGCTCCCATTAATGGAGTTCTAATCTAGCTAAGGAGGGAGAAGAAGAAAGGAAAAAGGGATCCTTTACATGGAGGCTAAGCTCCGTATTTATAGGGGAAGGAGAGAAGGGGCTCTCCACCCTAATGGGCCAAACGGGCCGATATCAGGCCTGGTGGTCAAAGTGGGCCGGATGGGCCGAAATGGGCCTAGCTGCTCGGGCTCCGTACTGGATAATGTCTTGGGCTCCTGAACAGTAATAGGCCGGGATAATATATCCCAACACAAGTCCCCCAGTTTCTTGAGTAGTGAGCTCGCGAATCTGCTCGAGAAAATATACTCTGCCTGCGCTCTTCCTCTGTCTTGCTGGAAACTGTGTCTTCACATAATCATAATATATGAGTGAGTGTCTGTACTCCTGAACGTAATCTACCAGTGAGGCACCCCCCTTTCCGACATGGTCGGGCGAAGGGTGCTCCTCCACGGGCACGCTCCCCCTGAATGCATCAGGCGAGAGTAGAGGACTCTGACTCGAGCTTTCCAATCGGAGAAGCTTAGAGGTCCATGCGTCTATAAACCGATGTCGCGGTACTGTCAAAACACGATGCACATGTGTATGTATGAATGTATGAGGTATGATGCATGAATGCATGAATGCATGTAATGTATGGGTGCGATGTATGAGAGAAGGAATGTGAGATGTGATAGAAAGCGGTGGCTCTCATCGATAACCCGGGCATGTCAGCGCCGAGGGGCAGACGTGCTGCATAAGAGACGTTCGTCGCCATCCTGAAAGGGATGGGCGACCCTAACGTGAGCCAGACACGATGGCGCTGGGGCGCTGATCGTGCTGTATAAGAGACGTTCGTCGCCATCCTGAAAGGGATGGGCGACCCTAACGTGAGCCAGACACGATGGCGCTGGGGCGCTGATCGTGCTGCATAAGAGACGTTCGTCGCCATCCTGAAAGGGATGGGCGACCCTAACGTGAGCCAGACACGATGGCGCTGGGGCGCTGATTGTGCTGCATAAGAGACGTTCGTCGCCATCCTGAAAGGGATGGGCGACCCTAACGTGAGCCAGACACGATGGCGCTGGGGCGCTGATCGTGCTGCATAAGAGACGTTCGTCGCCATCCTGAAAGGGATGGGCGACCCTAACGTGAGCTAGACACGATGGCGCTGAAACGCTGATCGTGCTGCATAAGAGACGTTCGTCGCCATCCTGAAAGGGATGGGCGACCCTAACGTGAGCCAGACACGATGGCGCTGGGGCGCTGATCGTGCTGCATAAGAGACGTTCGTCGCCATCCTGAAAGGGATGGGCGACCCTAACGTGATCCAGACACGATGGCGCTGGGGCGCTGATCGTGCTGCATAAGAGACGTTCGTCGCCATCCTGAAAGGGATGGGCGACCCTAACGTGAGCCAGACACGATGGCGCTGGGGCGCTGATCGTGCTGCATAAGAGTCGTTCGTCGCCATCCTGAAAGGGATGGGCGACCCTAACGTGAGCTAGACACGATGGCGCTGAAGCGCTGATCGTGCTGCATAAGAGACGTTCGTCGCCATCCTGAAAGGGAATGGGGCGATCTGAACGTGAAAAGAGACACGATGGCGCTGAGGGGCCGATCGTGATGCATAAGACGTTCGTCGCCATCCTGGAGGGAATGGGGCGATCCGAACGTGAAAGAGACACGATGGCGCTGAGAAGCCGATCGTGCTGCATAAGACGGTCGTCGCCATCCGATGGGAATGGGGCGATCCGAACGTGAAAGAGACACGATGGCGCTGAGAAGCCGATCGTGCTGCATAAGACGGTCGTCGCCATCCGATGGGAATGGGCGAGCCGAACCGTGAAGCCAGGTACGATGGCGCTGAGGGGCCGATCGCACTGCATAAGACGTTCGTCGCCATCCTGGAGGGAATGGGGTTATCCGAACGTGAAAGAGACACGATGGCGCTGAGAAGCCGATCGTGCCGCATAAGACGGTCGTCGCCACCCTGGAAAGGATGGACGAGCTGAACGTGAGCTGGGTACGATGGTGCTGAGGGGCCGATCGCACTGCATAAGACGGTCGTCGCCATCCTGGAGGGAATGGGCGAGCCGAACCGTGAATCTGGACACGATGGCGCTGAGGGGCCGATCGTGATGCATAAGGCGTTCGTCGCCACCCTGGAGGGAACGGGCGAGCCGAACTGTGAAGCCAGATACGATGGCGCTGAGGGGCCGATCGCACTGCATAGGACGTTCGTCGCCATCCTGGAGGGAATGGGCGATCCGAACGTGAAAGAGATACGATGGCGCTGAGAAGCCGATCGTGATGCATAAGACGTTCGTCGCCACCCTGAAAGGGATGGACGAGCTGAACGTAAGCTGGGTACAATGGCGCTGAGGGGCCGATCGTACTGCATAAGACGGTCGTCGCCATCCTGGAGGGAATGGACGAGCCGAACCGTGAATCTGGACACGATGGCGCTGAGGGGCCGATCGTGATGCATAAGACGTTCGTCGCCACCCTGGAAGGGGTGGACGAGCTGAACGTGAGCTGGGTACGATGGCGCTGAGGGGCCGATCGCACTGCATAAGACGGTCGTCGCCATCCTGGAGGGAATGGGCGAGCCGAACCGTGAAGTCAGGTACGATGGCGCTGAGAAGCCGATCGTGCTGCATAAGACGGTCGTCGCCATCCTGGAGGGAACGGGCGAGCCGAACCGTGAAGCCAGACACGATGGCGCTGAGAAGCCGATCGTGCTGCATAAGACGGTCGTCGCCATCCTGGAGGGAATGGGCGAGCCGAATCGTGAAGCCAGATACGATGGCGCTGAGGGGCCGATCGCACTGCATAGGACGTTCATCGCCATCCTGGAGGGAATGGGCGATCCGAACGTGAAGGAGACACGATGGCGCTGAGGGGCCGATCGCACTGCATAAGACGGTCGTCGCCATCCTGGAGGGAATGGGCGAGCCGAACCGTGAAGCCAGGTACGATGGCGCCGAGGGGCCGATCGTACGGCATAAGACGGTCGTCGCCATCCTGGAGGGAATGGGCGAGCCGAACCGTGAAGCCAGACACGATGGCGCTGAGAAGCCGATCGTGCTGCATAAGACGGTCGTCGCCATCCTGGAGGGAACGGGCGAGCCGAACCGTGAAGCCAGACACGATGGCGCTGAGAAGCCGATCGTGCTGCATAAGACGGTCGTCGCCATCCTGGAGGGAATGGGCGAGCCGAATCGTGAATCTGAACACGATGGCGCTGAGGGGCCGATCGTGATACAGAAAAATAGTGATGATCATCTCATGGCCCTCGGCCTCTCGCGGCCCTCGGCCGTGCTGGTGATGTGTCAAGTCTCTCTCCTGATTGGCTGTGAGAAGCCGATTGTAACACCGTCCCCAAATATATTTACTTTTATGTAAATAATGTATTGAACCTTATTAAAGGATTTACGAATTTACGAAGTTGTAAATTTTTATTATTTCGTTCGCGTGAATAGTAAATTGCACGTGGGACCCACACCAGGGGCGGGGGCCGCCCGGCATTTCCGAGACTATATATTTTATTCATCTTGGTCTAGATAATAAATATATAGTGGTGGATATTTCATTTGGGCAATGGAAAGGCCCAGAGTTGACCGATTGGTCAAAAGAAGCCCAAATTACCGGTACTGGTAATTTAACAGATATCAGCCCGGAAATGAAATTCGGAGACTCCTAAATCAATGTTTTGGAATATATACTATTTCAAAAGTCCATTACGATTGAGGACACGTAATATATTTTATTTTACCCGATAAAATAAAATATGATTAAAACAGTCCGAAAAATACAACTTTCGGGACCGATTGTACACCTCGGGACACAAAGGGATGACCTCCCACATGAGTGGGGGCCATCCCACGTTTTATTAGCTCCATGTGACTCCTTGGGAGCTGCAAGGACAAGGGAAGGTGGGAGGAAGGTCAACCATGTGGTAGAATGGGACCCTTTTCCCCCATAATTGGTGAGATGAGCCAAAAAGGCCATCCTATCACCCCCTCACCCCAATAGCTCGACCAAGCCACCCAAGAAAGAGAAAGAAAGGCTCTCCAACCCTCCTCCATTGCTGCAACTCGAGCTCAAGCAAGAAAGGTCCAAGGAGTGGGATTAAAGAAGGAAAAAGGGCTAGGAAAAGTGTGTAAATCAAGGTAATGACCTTATTATAACTTCTCCTTTATTTTTCTTCTACCATATAAGATATATATCATGTGAAGGATCCTTAAGAGGGTTCTACATGTTATGAGTATGGATTTATGGGTTGGGAAGTGATTCTATGTCCAAGAACGGACTTAGAAGTCAAAACGACCGGTTCACCGGAAAATAACCTTTTTGAGGTTATTTGTATTAACATGGGTTTTATGATTATAAAACCTTGTTAGGCACTTGTGAAGGGTATTTCAAGTGATTTCACAAAGTTGGAAAAGTCGCCGGAATTGTCGCCGGAGTTGACCAAAAGTCGCCGGAGTTTCACCGGAGTTCAACCAAGAAGGGTAGAACTTCTTAACGCTAGTTCAAGGTGAGTGGACGGCTTAATATCTTATAACTTTTGGGTTAATTATAAGATTACCTAAATAAATGTTATAAGTGTTCATAATGATGTTTAAAAGATATTTAAACATGTGATTAGCCAACATAGTTAAGTGCGTATGAAAAGAATAATTGTTTATGCATGAAATATGATATGGGAAATTATATATAATGCATATTTGCTTTAAGAGTAAAAGAAGCACAATGGATATTATTAACTTAATTATATGATGAATTAGTTAATAAGTGTAAGACTTGAGATGGCGGTCAACAACAACGTTGACCGATGGTAAATGGATTAATTAATATCGGTTGATATTAGTTAATTATACATCTATATGGTTGCATGGATTTGCATGGATTGTGATACATAAGCTTTATGTAGTGAATTAGTTATGAATGACTAAATATGATATAGACCCTATCTAGCGTGATATGTGGTAAGTCATAGGTCGGGTGGAGTACCCAAGGATCGGGCGGTTATCCTCAAAACTCGGTTATATAGGGTGGAGTACCCAAGGATCGGGCGGTTATCCTCAAAACTCGGTTATATAGGGTGGAGTACCCAAGGATCGGGCGGTTATCCTCAAAACTCGGTTATATAGGGTGGAGTACCCAAGGATCGGGCGGTTATCCTCAAAACTCAATTATAGGGTGGAGTACCCAAGGATCGGGCGTGTATCCTCAAAACTCATAGATTACATTTAATGATCTAGGACCGGGCGGTGTCCTTATGATAATTTATTTGACCAAGGAGGAGTTCTATACACTCATAGGTATATGGGTGGGTTGGGATTTAAGTCAAGGATATTGGCTACTATTATTTTCCCAAATAAACAATGACCTACGGGTCGGGTATTTCCAAGTGTATGTATACTAATATGTATTTCAAACTTGGGGGAAGGACTATACGTATATGTATCATCCTATGTTTGGGTCTTATACTTGAAACGCTAGTTATTCTATATTTAGCCTGCTACTCGCTCGGTACTTGTACTGACCCCTTCGGGGGGCCCCACCATTTTCAGGTTGAAGCTAGGGCTTGCTACCTGCACCTTTCTACGGGTGACATCAATCAAGGAAGACGTGGTTCGTGCTTCCTCATTTTATTTCAAATTACCAAACATTGCTCATGGATATTTTTATTTGTCATAAACTATTCTTTTGGGGCTTGCATGCCCATGTTATTGGCCGGTTGTGGCTTATGACTTACCGTTGAATATTTCCGCTATTCATTGGTTTAAATGTGATGTTGTTATGTATGTTTACTACTGAGTATGGATGGATTATTTTCTCGAACGCCTTGTGTAATCAAGTGAGGTTGACTCGCGGGTGACGTCACTTGATTATGCGGCGGTTGTACACGCGCTTGGATTGCGGTCTGGGGCGTGACACCGATCGTCTGCCAGGACTCCATCCGGGAAGGAATGGTGAGCCTGAAATAAATCCGGGCGATGTCCCTCCTACCTGATCTGGGGAGCTGGTATTCGTCGTTTAAGACAAAAGAAAACCTGATGTTAGCCGATCGTCGTCGGCCACCTCATTCTTCGTACTTAAGTTTTGTAATTATTCTTTTACATATGTTTTTCAGTTTGTACTTCCCGGCCAATAGCGCCGAGGGATAAAATCATTCTTTGCTCCGTGCTCTTCTGGCATCTTTCTTTCTCTTTTTTTTTTTTTTTTTTTTTTTTGGAGTCTTTTAGTCTTCGTTCGTCCTTGGTCCCTGGTCCCACCGGCGTCCCTACTTCGAGGAGACGTTCGGTGTCCGCCGACATCGCAAGGAGGAACAGGTTTATCTACATCGAGATTCCCCCCTTTTTTCGTTCGTCCGTGGTCCTTTTAGCCTTACCGACGTCTCTTGCTTCGAAGAGGACGTTCGATACCCAAGGACTCGCAGGGACGAACTGGTCTACCCTCACGGGTTCCCGTCTTTGTTATCCCACGTCCATCGATCCATGGTCATTTGTGGGATAAACAGGTTTATCTTGGCAAGGCTCCCTTGGTTCGTCTAGCCCCCTCCGCGTCTCTACTAACCTCTACATCGAGGGGCGTTCGTCTTCGGCGGTGAGAGAAGATCTGGCACGCCCGGGCAAGATTCCCTTCCACATAGGAGCTACCCTCCTCTTCTCCCCATCTTTTTTTTTTTTTTTTTTTTTTTTTTTTGGAG